GGTTCAGCATAGCCTGCTTGGCCATCTTGGTATAATTAGGCTCATCTTATGGTTCCCCTCAGTAGAAGCTGAGCTTTCTGATGCCACCTCCCAGTACAAATGGTGAATCTGATGTAATATCATGGTTTCAATGGAACCATCTGATGTCACCTCAGTGCTAACAGGATGTTTTATAATATGTCGTCTAAGGCTGCAGGGAAAATCTTGTAATCCACTCACTATGCTACACTACAATAGAACATAACATAGCATAACATGTAGGTTAACTTAGACAGTCTCAGGCAGATTTTGGATAGATGGATGGATAGATACATTTATACAAAGTATACATACATTATATCACTCTATTGATTTTTAAAAAGTTGCAGGTCTGCCTGGCTATAATGAGATTTTTGAACTTTGTGTTGCAATCAATGAAGGGAATATTATTGGCCTGGAGAATTGATATACCCGCTCTCTGTGGCTTGTTCTGTTCCTGGACTGCCCCTGCCCCCAAGGTGTACGATTCCATCAGACACTTAACCTCTTTTACAGTGTCATCAGGCTAAAAGGAATCTAATAGTGACACGGGACTTGTGCTCAGCACTCTGGCACTATTGCTTTCCTGTCACAAATAATTTATAGCTTTCTATTTCCATCCCTTTGCCTGCACCCCATCCCCTCTTTCTGTTTCTCTGGGCTGAGGGAAATCAATAAACTCACACAACCAGAGTGGCACTTCAGGGGGCTTTAGGGGGAATGTGAGAGAAAAGAAAAGAAAAAAACAGAAAAGAAGAAAAAAGTTATATTATTTGCCCTAGCACAGACTTCTTGGATCAGCTCCTCAGCTAGTGCAAGTCAGCATGACCTCAGAATCTAGCCCTGAGGCCCTCAGACACCTTCACTATAGGTCCTCAGCAGCTATAGATTAGGGCTCTCTTATACCAGTGACTCATATGTGGTGGAGTTGTCCATTCCCAGCCAGAACCTCGACATACCCTGTCTCCAGTTACATCCTAGGTGCCTCTCTGCCACTCCAGCTACTGCCTAGGCTTCATCATGTGTGTATCAGAATTTCCTAACATGCTGAGGTGATACCCTCTGAAATATCTTTCTTTTCCTAAGGTTTCATTCTCAGGAGTTGTGCTTTTTCAAAAATACCCTCTCGACCACTCTGCCTGTCACCCCACCCACTAGCCATATATTTGCTCTTCGATTGAAGTTTTACCAAGTGATTCTTTACAATGAATCTTTAAGAGAACTCTCAGGTGGGCAGGGAGAACGTATTTTTTGCTTTCTCTTTCTGGAGAGATGTTTTAGGAGAAGTTAAAGCTTATATAATGCAGGCCTGAGAGTCCCAGAAACTCAGGACAAAGGCCATCTGCAGCCTTCACCCTAATTGGAGAGGCTCGTTTTAATCTCAGAAAGGAATTTTGTCTCCATGGCCTTCACAGGTCATGGCTTATTTGCTGAGTTCCTTGGTGAGACAGTCGTTCCCGAGTCACGGATACCCAGCATCTACCAGTCAAGTACTAGGTGCTAGTGATTTTCTTTCACCACTGACCTCAGTGGGATTTAAACCAGTGACCTAGAGGTGAAAGATTTCATGTAACAAGAAACGGAGCACTGACAATTACAGTTCAGTTTATTTTCGTTCTGAGCTGCATTATGAGCTTGGTGGCATTCACTGAGACATCTTTTTGTGTTCCCATGCTGTGTTCATTCACCACCTGATAAACACATTTTTGCCCTCTTTGCTGGAGCTTCTTTTTCCTGGTGATGCATATCAGCATTTCCTACAGATGCCTTCTGCTCCAACTTTCTCATTTATGAAATGTAAAGGCTTTGAGCAAGGCTTCCATCAGTTCAAAGCATTCAGTTCTATGCCAGAAAGGTATCTTTTAGGTACACAACAAAATTAAATCTACACCAGTTGTAAATGCAGCAGTGGTTCTGTTAGCTGCAAAGACTGCCTTATGCTCATGCTGGCAGATGAGATCATAAATGATAATGCAGTTGCCAACACACAGGAGATCCTACCTCTTTCATTGAGCACCATAGTAACACAGTGAATATCCAGGTTTGGGGAAAAGATGGCAGAGCAGAGCAAAGACAGCTCTCTGGAAACTGGACCATTAAAGCAGTAGAATCAGGATCCTAAGAAGGCAAATGAAGCTGCTCTGCTGCACCCAGAGCTTAAATCAGGCTTCAGGTTCTGACAGCTGGGATCATGGGTATGCAAAGGCACCAAGAAGTTGCAGTGGAGTTCTGAGTATGTTTTGATCTTTTCTAGGATCATCAGAACCAAAGTTCAGCAACCTTTTCACCCAACACCGGATGGGAGTGGGACAGGCGTAACTGCACCAGGACATACTATTGGTAAGAAGACTGGCATGAGGGGTGGTGAAAGGACAAGTGGAAATGAGGGTGAAGCTTAGTCAAGGGAACAAAGTCTGAAAAGCAGATGCGAAGCAGAGCAAAAAGGAGGAGGGGGTGGGAGAAAAAAAACCTCAGTGGAAATCAGAGGTTCCTATTCTTCATTTCCCTTGTTGCACTGCACAGAAGGGAATCATAGCAGAAATACCAGCCCAAGGCAGGGATTTGCCCAGAGTCATTCTGCCCTAACATCCGTTTCACATTCATGCTCTCTCCTTTGCCTCCCTAGAGAAGTACTTACCACTATCCTGTCTAAGCTCCAGTCTTCACCTTCCTCTCCTTCTTACTCTGACTCTCTTTGTCTCTCTCTCTCTCTCTCAATATCTTTTCTCTCCCTTTGGTCCATTTCTTAGAACTAGTAATGCACAGACCAGGGTAAGATATTTCTGATGCCTCAGAATTGAGTTCTTCATTGTTCTAGCTCTGCAGTTAGGTATCCAATGGGTGTATTTCACGGAGAAAATGCATTTTCTGTTGGGGAAGATGGGTTTGTTGAGGTGACCAGAAGATGAAGTCTGTAATAAAGTGACCAAATGTCTCCTAGTCTGTTGTGTTTAAAGGTACTGTGCTAGATATGTGATGTAGTACTTTTCAGTGATGTCTCTGTGGGCTGTATGGTCTGCTGTTGCTAGCATAGCTTTATCCATTAAGAATTCAGAAGAGGAAAAAACCTGCAGTATTCTGGGATACTGTGAAATACAGTGGCTTATGCCTGGTCTAAGATGCTGTCTTAGATACTACTGGTTACTGAGAATCAGCTGCTATACCAAGGTTTACTGGAAAGTGCTCGTCTACACAAGACAGAGCTGGCAAAAATAATCCTGTACATGAACTATGTTCAGGAACACAATGAAATTAATGGGCCAGTATGGAAGAGCATTTCTGGATGCCCTTTTAATCTGGACTTTCTCACTGGTCTGGGAATCACTGAGCACAACAGATGGAGTTGGCAGATATTATTTCTTCTTGGAAAAATAGTGCGATGTCTAGGGAATGCATTGGCTGAGATGGGATAGTGATTGTGAGTGCTGCTGCTGGAGTCTCCTGTTGCTCTGGGATGTACTGGGAAGTGTAGGTCTACATTGGATTGTGGTGACAGGTTCTGCTCCATCCTGGAAGGCTTGTATTGGATGTATTGACTGCTTCAGGCTTTATGAGCTGAATGATGGGTAGTGGTCCATAAGAATTGTGATGTTCTCTCCATTACTGGGACACACTGGGACATAATGGGTGTGCCACTGGATGCATAGCTCTACTTGTTCTATACTCTAAGGCACTGATTATCACTTCTAATCTGGATGACTTGTCATTTCTGATATACTGGAAAATGATGAGCAATCTTGGTCATCTCTGAGTGGCAGGAGGAGTCTGCCTGTTGACACTGGTCAGTGCAAAAGGAAGACACTAGATTTTTATTAATCTGGGTTGGAGTATGTATCACCAACTCATCATTTGTTCTAGTAAGGAGCTGAATTTATTGACTCAACACTGAAGTGCTTCTGACCTATGCTAAGAAGGTAATTTTTCAATGAGTGTTTTGAGTGGACATGGAAGAGGTTGGTCTGGCTAAGACAGAACATATGCACTTCTGGGGGAATAATGCTGAGAGAAAACGATCTGGCAAAACACAGATGGACTAGGAAATCACTAGAGAATGTGGCCTATGCAGCATTGCAATAATTTACCATGGCGTGCACTGGGAAGCCTGCATTAAACTGAGATGTAACAACAGCATTTAGCTTCTTGGTAGAATACACTTGCTTGTTATTAATGGCCCTGTACTGGAACGCTGTGGAGTTTGGGGTAGGAATGGACTGGCAAAGATGGGATGCAGCAAAATGAGCGTAGAGCAAGTATGAGTTCTTCAGTGTGAGGGACTGGGAGTCTGCTTAGTGCCTCCTAGGCTTTCCTATGAGACTGGTGGCATGCGTAGCTTTCAGCTGGGAGATCCCCAAGTGCTGTGCTGCTCTCCTCATGGCCCTTTTTCCCTTTTCCTTTTGTCCAGTGCCCAGCACAGCATCCCCTCCCGTCTCCAGTGCCTCCAATGATCCAGTGGGCTCTTACTCCATTAACGGGATCCTGGGGATTCCTCGGTCGAATGGCGAGAAGAGGAAACGTGATGAAGGTAGGGGGAGGGGAGAAGCTCATCCTCCCTTTTATATTCTTTGTCCCCATGTACAGGCTCCAGTTTCAGGCCAAGGTTTGCAGCTGCTCCAGGGGCTAGATCAGTTTTAGCAACAGAGACCAGTTCCTCGCCACTGCCCTGCTGGCTTGGAATGCTCTTCTTCCGAGGCCCTTTCATGACAGGCTGTGTCTCCAGACATCTGCTCGGCAGGCAGAGAGCCATCTCCATTTCTGGAGCTGATCCCAAGTTCATTCACTGCTGGAAATGCCTGGAACTGAACTCCCCAGGTGCCAGCAGGTGCCCGGACTTTGAACTGTGGGTAAACATGGTTTCCCCAACTCACTCAGTTTCAAACAAAACGTCATCTCAGAGAAGCACCAGCAATGTGGGAGCTATCTTTCTTTCCCCTTACAAACAAGTTCCTGTCTTGTGACTTGGTCTGAGCTATATTAGCTGGTGATGTTAAGGGCCCAGTTTACAATGCGTGGCATCTACCACAACAGAACTGCCATGCTTGCAACAGTCTGAAAGCAGAACAGGAGGTCTTCTGAGTACTGTGGCCCCAAGGTTGCTATCTAAGCCTTTTGCTATTGTTCTAAGAAGTTAGGATTAAGCTATCTTGTTTTCCTTCCAAACTGCTGGAAAGGACTCAGGGCAAAGTGAATCCTGAAATAAGCCAAAAGCTGGAGCCTCGGGTCTAGATAGACTGAGTTAGGAGGGGTGGATAAGGTCTTGATGTTCTTATGGTGGCTTTGTGATTTTTTTCTTAAATCTTGCTCTTTAATTTGATGCATTCAAAAATTGAGGGTCAGGAAGTGAGCTTTTCCAACAGTAGTACCTGACCAGTTTGCTCGGTTCAGCCTTGCCTTCAGTATGCTGTTTTCCACTGTTGCCTGTTGTGTGGAGGAACCTCTGAGCAGTACAGGTGGCTCAGTGTGCTGCATGTGCTCTAACCCCAAGGCTGTGAGGTGCAAGAGAACACGAGGGTTCTCTGTAGTATGTGGTGAGAAGAGAAAGCTCTCCTGAGGCAGATGCAGCATTTTGGGTTTCCGACAGCAATTTTCTCAGCATTGGTTCTAGTGAGGTTCACATCTGTAAGCTTTTGATCCAAATAAACACACTAATTCCAAGAACAAAAAGCAGTCATCATGACCCCTTTCTCCTTACTGCAAAGTAAACCTAGAGGTGAGGACCCAATACAGCAAATTAAAGTAAATGGGAATATTTTTGCTGATGTCATTGGAAATTGGATCAGGCCCCAGAGGAAGATCCATTTCCCAGCTAGATGGCAGTAGGGCCCAGCTAAGAGAAAAGTGTAGGAATGGAAGGACTGAGAGAATGCCTCAAAGTAAAAAAAAAATCAGGAATAAGAGACTGCAAACACTGCAAATCCCTCCAGCGTTTCCTATAATCACATATACAGGAAATAGTGACATTTCAAACAGAGTGACAAGTTTCTCCAATGGTTGAGTAAATCTTTTGGCAGCTATTTGGGGTTTTTTGAACCCCTGTTCTCAATACAGTCAAGTCTATTGGTCACTAGCACTCAACATGGTGCCTCTGTATCTCATTTTGAAATTACGCATTTCAGTCTGGCTCTAGTAACTATTCTTTCCAAATACCTGAAAAGATCATACCATCTCAGATGCAGCTACACAGTCACTTTCAGAACCTGCACTTTTTTGGAGCAGTACAATTAAACACAGACACAGCCTAGCAGCCATCTAAGACTGTGACACTTCACAATGATATATTGACAGTAAGAACAACTCCCTGTGTCTGTCCTTAATTCATACCAGTTTTAATTTATGAAGGGCAAGCAACACACTGCAACTCCTTGCTGTTTGCTAAGAGCCCACATATTCCACTTGAAATAAAAAAGGTACCAGACAGTCCTGGAGATGTTGTTTGTCTTTAGCTCTCAGAGTTGAGGAGGAAGTCACATGACACAGCTGCCACTGCCTTAGAGAACAGCCTTCATGCTGCCATCCCAGGTATCTCCTGCAGGGAGATGTTGCATTCCTGTCCCAGAGAAACCTTGTGTGGGACCCCCTGCCAGCTGCTGAACAGGGTCAGATCATAAGGCTAGAAGAGTCCAAGAGGAGGTTGTGCACAGCCTGCATTCACTCCTGGGAAATCCCCCTTTACCTCTTGAAGGATCTGATTGTTCCTAGCTGAGATGGGGATTAGGAACACCAGGCAAGAAATCCAGCGCAGGTATTTCTTTCATGATCATATTAGATGTATACACCTTCTCAGTATTCCCCAGAGATTCTCAGCACGGTTTTATTGCAGTTTCTTAATTGCAGGGTTTATTCTTGTGTTGAAAAGCCTTTATGATCTCCCAATGCACATCTACTTTCCCAGTGTCCTGGTTTGTCAAACCGTGACACCCAGCATTTTGGAGTTGGCTCTTCCTTTAAGGAGCCAGGAGAAGCAGCACTGCTCTCTCTTTCTTTCTGCTCTGTTGGACCAGCTTTGCTGCAAGGATTCCTCTGTAAGGAATGCAGTTCAGCAGCAAGAAGGGGAAGTACCAAGCTGCTCCTGAATCCCCAGTTTTCAAAACCTTGTTAGCAACTTCTGTGGTGGCTGGGGGGAACAGGGTGGGAGAAAGACAGAGGAGCCTCTATCTGAGCACACCCCCTCCCCCAGGTTCTCCTTGCTGCAGCTGGTGCCTGCATTAGGCAGTAGCACAGATGATTAAGAAGAGGAGAGATAATTATGTGTCAAGATGATGTAGCAGAACTCCCAAGTTGGACAGAAGGAGCCAGACAGATGCATGAGGTGGGCTCAGCGATGGACGCTGACAGCCAGGTGTGTCCCTCACAGGGAGTTAGAGGGAAGAGGGGGAAATCCCAAGCTACTAAATGCAACCACAAGGGTGGCCTGGAAAGACTAGGGCACTGAGATGGAGCTACCAGGGAGGTAGCTCTGAGTGTCTACTAGTCAAAACACAGAACTGTCAGATCACAAATCTTCCCTCAAAACTCAGTGTGTCTTCCTCATGTGAGCACTTAGGAAGGATGGTCAGGATTTGCCCTGTTAAGATCATTAATTCCTTTGTTTCAGTTTTGAACTGTGGTTGTAAACCCCCTGACTTCACTGACAGATTGGACAAAGCAGAGAGTTGGCCTCCTACAATTTTAAAAATAATTTGGCTAAAAAGTTCACCACCACTTGTGTAGCAGTGCATGTGCCATTTCTTGTAGTCTATGGGCACAGCCAGTGTTGCTGTAATTTCTGTCTTTCCCCACTACTTACACCCACTACTTACACCCACCACATCCCAGAGGCAGAAGAGGACCTGCAACATATAATGAATTTTCCAAGCCCACTGAGGGTCTTTCAGTATCAAGCTGCAGCTGGAAACAGGAACTCCTGGCTCTTCATGATCCTTACATCGCACTATGCTGTGATGGCAGGCCAGGCTCAGCAGGGTCATTGTCTGGCCATGAGGCAGCAATAAGAAGTCCAGAAGGATAAAAGGGAAAAATAATAAGAAAATCTTTCCATTGTTTCATAATCCCCTGATTGATATCCTAAAGGATGAGAATTAGGGTGACTCAGAGGCACTAAAAAAAATTAATATCACTCATATTGTAGTCTGGAGCACTGTATAAAGAGAAAAAGGGAGAGAGAGGAAGGGAAGGATGGTTGGATGGATGGAATAATGGATAGATAAGTAGGCAGATAATTAGATAATATGAAAACATTATTTCAAACTGTTCCCTGCATGCCACAACATGTCCAGTTGGGTGAAACTTTTGGGATCTTTACAAAACCACTCTCATTAGAAATAGCTCTTTCTCTCCATAGCAGGCCACAAACAGACTTCCTCTATAGACCCAAATTCTCATTTGGGATTTGTGTTCCAGTAAGACTGGTGCTGTAACAATCTCAGCATTATTAATTTTGGTCCCTGACAATATCTGTAGTATTCAACAGCATTACTGGCAATAACATCTGCAGTGCTGACAATGGCAGAGATAATGTTCCCCAGTATTATCGGCATTAGCAGGTATCATATCTGCAGCCTGTTATTGGCGGGAGCAGACGTAATGTATCCAGTATTATTAGTATCAGTAGTAATAAAACCCACAGGCTTGTTAGTATGATCAGTGCTAATATCAGCAGTAGGTTTGTGGGAGAGGAGGGGACGGAGTGATTGCTACTGTAAATGGCACTAACACTCAGGCTGTTTGCACTAAAGGAATCCCCAGCAGAGCTTAGGGAGTAAACCTGAGAAGGCAGAAGTTCTTCCTTTCCCTTCTTCACCTGTCATTTTGATTATCAGTGATTTACATTGAAGTAAGCAATACAGGGCTGCGTCATTGCAGGGGAACAGTAAAGGGTCACCAACATTTCAGCAGATTGGAGGTGTTTTCCAAAGAGCATTAGCTGCATCAGTGCAGGTGATAAACTGTACTCTTCAAAACGGGGTGCAGTTATGTATGCAGAACAGGGTGCTGTCTTTTAGCAGCAGGAGCATTTGCACTGTTAATCCGGTAGCTACAGAATGGGCAGCAACTATGCACTTCTCTTTGGTGCTGCATGCATAATTTTCTGACTGTTTCTCTTCTTTTATTCCAAGTGGGAGACTGACTGCAGGGCAGGGTTTTCACAGTGTTCAGCTTGGGGATTTTTGTACATGACCATGATCTCATTTTCCTACTGGGAAAGTAGAAATGCTTCTTTCTTGTGAAATGTGTGGCAGGGAGATCTGTAACAGTCCCAGTTCTGGAAGTTGTTTTTTTAGATACTGCCCTGGGACATAAACTGTCATGAAGAAAATTTTAAACTCAATTGTTTAAGTGGAACACAGCACAAAGAGGAGAGATATATACTGTGCTTAAGAATGTCTGAGTTCTGAGTAGATATGCAGCAGCTGAGTGTGCCACTGCAAGTATGATCACATTTGTGTTGTTCAGAGTGACAATGATAATATAATTTGGGAGATGTGGTTGTGTTACTTCAGGTGACTATGTGTCATTGTCTTCAGT